GAGAGAGGAATGATGGTTGCATGGATGGAGAGACGGAGGGAAAGAGGGATGGATGGATGGAGAGAAGGGTGGATGGAGAGAAGGATGGATGCATGGAGAGATGGAAGGATGGATGGAGAGAGGGAGAGAAGGAGGGAGAGAGGGAGAGAGGAATGATGGTTGCATGGATGGAGAGATGGAGGGAAAGAGGGATGGATGGATGGAGAGAAGGATGGATGGAGAGAAGGATGGATGCATGGAGAGATGGAAGGATGGATGCAGGGAGAGAAGGAGGGAGAGAGAGAGAGGAATGATGAATGCATGGATGGAGAGATTTAAGCAGAAGTGTGCGCTTTTTCAGAGATCGGATTGGGGCAAACAAAGGTTGTGAATTTTGGCAAAGCTGACGGAAAACATGCCTGACGCGAAGTCAAGCATGTTAGCCTACTATATATTAATAAATGAGAAATAGAAGGAGACACTGGGCAGGTTCACCTGGAGAAGAGAAGGCTGCAGGGGGAGCCGACAGCTGTCTTCGGAGCTGTCTGAAGGGCTGTCATGTCAAAGAAGTGGTGGACTTGTTCAGACCTGTTTCAGAAACCAGGAGAAGAAACCAGGTTAAATTACAAGGAAGGCTATTTGGGTGGGACATCCACAAGAACTGCTTCAGGGGAAAAGCTGTTCGCCGATGGAACTGCCTGCCTCAGGAGATGGTGGGTCTTCCATGGACGGAGGATCTTGAACAGAGGCTAGATGTCGCTCAGAGTCATCTGAACTGCAAGATGGGCCCAAATAAATTGGATTAAGAAACAAACGAACAAAAAAATCATCCATCTTTTCAAACCCACAAGCAGATTTCGCTCTTATTTTTATTTTTCACTCTGCTTGATAACATTTCCCCCAAATTACTTCATGGGTTAAAAGCAGAGTTGGAGTAACACCAACGGATGCCCTGAGCAGAACCCACCGAGGGTATCTTTGCACGCAAGCCAAAATCTCATGCCAGGAGACGATGAGAAATGTGATTTCTTGGCAACACCTTCCAACCAAACTTTTAAACTTTAGTCACTGCCCAAGCTGATGACAACATTTTCTAAACAATGCAGATGAAAATCGAACGGGGCGAGAAGGCCAAATACGGGAAAATTCAACTCAAGTTGGGTGGGGCTGTGAAAGAGTTAAAGGCATAATTGCTGGGAGGGGGGAAATGGGGTGCCCCTCCTTATGCCCTAAACAGGGGCTTAGTTTTCTTAATGGTTAATCCAGGACTGGGTTTAAATGCCAGCTTTTTCGCCCAAAGTACAAATTGCAAAGCGAGGGTAGAGATTAAGGCACTAAATCAGATCAAAGGCCGGTTGAGTCTAACATGCTGTTTTGGTAATAGTAGAACTAGTTTAAATGCTGGTTAAAGCATAATTGATCTGTGGCACAGAAGCCAGAAAAGTCTGTGGGGAAGTAGAAAGATTTATCCGGTTAAAATGTTTGGAATAGTATTTCTTATTCATGATTTCTTCAGTGAAAATGATCTTTTAGCTGGCGATGGGAAAGAAACCTCTCTGCTGAAATGCAGAATATAAATAGATTTACTATTATTATGAACAGGAACAAACTGCTACACTTTTAACCAAATTAAGCTTAGCTGGAGACTGATCCACCTTAAAAAAAACTGCCGATTCCATCAAATTGTTACTGCTTGTCCAGAATATTGATCATTGTGCATATAAGCGCCAATATTTTGAAAATACACGAGTAATATTCAGTGCAGAGACATTAGCATCTGAAGCAGGAGTTTATGTTTTACTTCCAATAGGAGAGCAACGTCTGCAAAAATATTTGATGAAGAGAATGTGCTTTTTATCATTTTGGAGCAGAGAATAGCTTTGTGCTTTTAGATTATGGCCAGACATGTTTACACAAAGTAGCTACTTTATATTTATTTTCCTAGAAATCTTAAAAGCAGTTGCCCATCCTAAATATTGTACATCACTCTAGGCCAGTGTTTTTCCACCTTGGCAACTTTAAGGACATGTAGACTTCAACTCCCAGAATTCCCTAGCCAACATGCCTTAAGCAGTGTGACCCAATTTCCAGAATTCCCAGGTTGACCAGAGAATTCTGGAAGTAAAATCCACCCATTTTAAAAGTTGCTGAGGTTGAGAAACACTGACTTAAGGGACTGAAATAATTACCAAGGGCCTGTTTCCCAGAATGCCCCAATGTGGGAGCTGCTGGGGAATTCTAACAGTTGAAGTCCATACACCCTAAAACAGGGGTCTTCAAACGTGGCCCTTTTATGACTTGTGGACTTTAACTCCCAGAGTTCCTCTGCCAGCCTGCCTGGCTGAGGAATTCTGGGAGTTGAAGTCCAGAAGTCATTAAAAGGCCAAGTTTGAAGACCTCTGCACTAAAGATTGAAAAAAACTGATTTAAAATATTCCAGATAAGACTGGAGAAGACAGGTAAGGACGGATTTCTGACACTTTCTTTTGCACCGTTTGCTTTACATATAGGGCAACAAGCGCAATAAAAATATTGAATTATTCTCTGCAAAGACCAATTTGGGGAATTGAGGAAATTAGATGTTCAAGCGAGGGCCTCTCTACATTTCTATCTCTATGGCTTCCTCCGAAGAGGCACCACGCACGAAGCGCGCCTGCGCTTCGCAATCTTTGGACAAACTGCGCATGCGCCGATGCTTCAGCGGACAGCCGTTCTACCCCCCCGCAACTCTTTGGTGCAAGAATTTTAAAAGAACGAGAGCGCGAAAAGGAGAGAAAACGGGGGGAAAAACCGGCGGCGGACTTTGAAATATGCCGAAGCCGCCGCAAGAAGGCCCGAACCCTTTATTTACGCAATGGCTGCAAGAATGGCGCGACCAGGCCGCGGAGAGCGGCCGACTGAAGAGCCAACGCGCTTATGAACGGGTAAGCCCCGCCCACAGCGGCAAGCCCCGCCCACAGCGGCGAGCTCCGCCTCAAAATGAATGTGTCTTTTGGGGAAAAGTTCCTATTAATCCTGCAATAATGAGAAAAACTCTTAATATAATAGCCATTAGAATAATTATTAGAAAAATAATTACGATAAAAATGCAATAATTAACCCAGCTTTTGGCACAATGCCGTTTGCAATAGTTGTTAGTATAGTGATCAATACAATCATGCAGGAATTCGCATATCTGACATACAATTAGCTTAATAAGAGCAGAACTTTGTGAGATTAATGTAACTAGCCAGTCGAGACTACAGGCAGTCCTCGACTTACGACCACAAGTGAGCCCAGGATTTATGTTGCTAAGTGAGACATTTGTTAAGTGAGTAATCAGAGAACCCCGGGTCACTATGACCATCATAAATATGAGTCAGTGGCCAAGCATCTGAGTGTAAATCACATGATCATGGGGTCGTAAGTGTGAAAAAAACAGTCCTAAGTCACTTTTTTCAGCATGGCTGCAACTTCGGTCACTAAAGGAATTTGTAAGTCGAGGACCACCTGGCCCCTGTAAAGGCAGGGTTAAAAAAAAAATCTATTAAAAATGACTGTTTTGAGTTAAGCAACATCTCATTCCTGCTCTGGGCCCCCAATTTGTGTGACATTTCTCTGTTGTGTGCAGGCACTGAGCTCTCTCCGCAAATATCCCCTCCCTTTGCGCAGCGGCTGTGAGGCTCGGATCCTGATGTATTTCGGGGAGAAGATCTGCCGTCAGCTGGATGAACAGCTGGAGAGACACCGCAGCACCCAGGACGCTACAGCGCCGGCCGGTATGGAAGGAGAGAGGCCTGGGATCACTACAGGTAGTTCTCAACTTGGCTGGCTGAGGAATTCTGGGAGTTGAAGTCCACAAGTCAGAAAAGGGCCAAGTTTGAAGATCCCTGTCTTAAATCTAACAAACAAAATGGAGGCTGGCTGAGGAATTCTGGGAGGTGAAGTCCACAAGTCAGAAAAGGGCCAGGTTTGAAGACCCCTGTCTTAAATCTAACAAACAAAATGGAGGCTGGCTGAGGAATTCTGGGAGTTGAAGTCCACATGTCAGAAAAGGGCCAAGTTTGAAGACCTCTGGTCTACCTCAAAGCTCAGAAGCTTCTGTTGAAAGAGTTTGTCATATGCCTTCCAGGTGGGCCAATCCCAACTTCTCTGTGGAAAAGTTGTGAAGATGTGGACCATCCAACTTCCAGCGACAGGCTGGTGTTACAACCGGCTCAGTCCTCTCTGGAGCCAGTTGAACATCAAGAGCAATGCTCAAAGGTGAGACCGTCGGTATGGATAACATTCCTCCATTCGTTTTGGGACCGTTTGCATCGTTTTGTGCGTGCAGGTGACTCTGGATGGACAGGGGAGCGGGGAGGAGAGAATTCAGAATCACCTGGATCCCGAGACGGGCGGCAAATACATTTTATAACAATAGTAAATAGAATAGAATTCTTTATCGGCCAAGCGTGACTGGACACACAAGGAATTTGTCTCCGGTGTATAAACACTCTTCTTTGTGTCAGCCCCTCAAATATTGGAAGATTGTTATCAGAACGACAGAGTAACGGAGTTGGAAGGGACCTCAGAGGTCATCTAGTCCAACCCCCTGCTCAGGCAGGAAACCCTAATACCATTCCAGACAAATGGCTGTCCAAGCTCTTCTTAAAAGCCTCCAGTGATGGAGCGCCCACAACGTCTGGAGGCAAGGCGTTCCACTGGTTAATTGTTCTCGGTTGGTTCTCGATAGATAGGTGGGTCTAAAGCCAGATTCACAACTGTGTTACTAACTTAACAACTGCGGTGACTCATTTAACAACCGTGGCAAGTCTAAATATCGGGCTGACTATGCAACAAACCGCAACGATATCCAAACTATCGAAAAAGACAGGTGTGGATTTCTTTTTCTCTTTTTTTTCTTTCCAGAAAAAGCAGACTGTTCCACGGCAGCGGGCCCGGGCTTACGTGCCAACTCGGCGTTCTCCGGCTTATGCGGTTCTGTTGGCACTCTACAATCACACGGTGGTAAGATACAGCGGGTGCCAGCCCTGTGGCCTGCAGAACCGTTTCAGGGTTGAATCGGCAGGTTGCAAAGCAGCTGATTCAATTCTATTTAGATTCGGATTCAATTCCGGTTAGATTCTACTTAGAGGTAGTCCTTTGACTTGCAAATATTCGTTTAGTGACCGTTTAAAGTTACCAAGGCACTGAAAAAGGTGCTACTCCTCGCACTTAACAACTGTGGCAGCATCCCCGTGGTCACCTGATCCAAAATTTGGGGGCTTGGGAACCTGTGTGAATTTATGATGGTTGCAGGGTTCCGGGGATGGTGGTGGGATGTCCTGTGATCACCCTATGTCAGGGGTCTTCAAACTTGGCCACTTTAAGACTTGTGGACTTCAATTCCCAGAATTCCTCAGCCATCCCTCAGGGCTGGCTGAGGAATTCTGGGAGTTGAAGTCCACAAGTCTTAAAGTGGCCACGTTTGAAGACCCCTGCCCTATGTGATCTTTCCATCTGGCGTCCGGCAAGCAAAATGAATAGAAGAAGCCGAATTTGCTTAAGAACTGTATGTAATTCACTTAACAACTCAGTGATTCGCTTAACGGCCACTTTGCTAAAGAGGAATTGGATTTCTTTCCTAGAAACCTGATTCTCGGGGCTATCTGAGCAAACCAGAGCTGCAGAAAACTGCTCAGCCACTGTGTGATAAATCTTTCTTTCTGGTAAGCTGATCCCTTCCTTGCTTGTTATTACCCCCATGATTAAATTTATCGAAAATTGGTTCTTTATGTGTGTGAGTCTTCGAGTCAGTTTTTGTCTCCCGGTAGCTACCTGGACTCGTCCCTGTGGTTTTCTTGGCAACGTTTTTTAGTTTGCCATTGTCTGCTTCCTAGGGCTGAGAGAGAGTGGCTGGCTCAAAGTCATCCTAGTTGGCTTGGTGCCTAAGGCGGAGCTAGAACTCACCGTGTCCATGTGAATGGCCCAAAGTCACCCAATGGGCTTTCATCCCTCAGGCAGAACTACAACTCACTCTCTCCTGGTGATTGGCGCAAAGGCACCCAGCTGACTTTCATGCTGAAGGCGGGACTAGAACTCACCATCTCCGTGTTATTGGCCCAAAGTCACCTAGCCAGCTTTCATACCTAAGGCAGGACTAGAACTCACCGTCTCCTGGTGATTGGCTCAAAGTCACCCAGCCGGCTTTCATCCCTCAGGCAGAACTAGAACTCACCGTCTCCTAGTGATTGGCCCAAAGTCACCCAGCCGGCTTTCTTACCTAAGGCAGGACTAGAACTCACCGTCTCCTGGTGATTGGCCCAGAGTCACGCAGTTGGCTTCCATATCTAAGGCAGTGCTAGAATTCACCATCTCCTAGTTTCTAACTTGATGCCTTAACCACTAGACCAAACTGACTTGATTGATGACAGCAACAGAAGTATTGTATTGTATTGTATTGTATTGTATTGTATTGTATTGTATTGTATTGTTGTATTGATAATTCTGTTGCTACTTTGACTAGCAATTCTCATGCTGATTGCCCCATTACAGGCCGATTCTGGAAGTAAGAACACCGCCTGGTCTATCGTCAGCACTCTGATTCGCAAGGAGCTAGTCCTCAAGACTAACATCCCAGCCAGGTTGATTTTTTTGGGGTTATACTAAAGAGTTGGGAGGGGGGGAGAACCTGCCTGCACCCCATTGGTTTTCTTGAACTTGGAGAGTGTTTTAACAGAACTGGCCCAGTTTTGACAAGCTTTGCTTGTCAGTCCAAGAGAGAACGAGGAGATAAACGGACGATGGATGGAAGATGGTTGGAAACTGTGACGGAAGCACCAATCCAGGGTTAAATTTGCCTTAGGGCTATGTTTCTTCCCCTTTGATTTTTAGTCGGTTAATTGCATTTATTAAAAGTTCTACCCCACCCATCTCTCCTAAGGGACTCCCAAACGGGTGGTTTACCACAACATCACAAAACCTTGTAAACCCACAACTTAGAAACAGAATTAAGAACAAGGTTCAGACGTACCAGGTCAAAGTGAAAAATCCAAGTTTAAAAATTCAGAAGGCTGGAACTGACGGACCCCAAAAGGCTATCTTGACTTGCAACCTCTTTCCGAGCAGATATTCTCTGACCGAAGCAGGGCTGACCGTCGCCCGGGAGCTGCGGGCCTCTGAAGAACTGAAGGAAGACCATTCCAGCACCCCAAAAACCGCAGCACCCCAAACAGGAGAAACCGCTTTGGAGCAAAACGACGGAAGATCGTCGGGCTCCGAAATTTCAGCCAGCAGCTCCACCGGCAAATACAGGTAAATCCTCGAATTACGATCACAACGGGGACCAGAATTTCCACAATGAAGACCAGCCCCACCAGCAAGTGAAGGTAGTCCTCAAATTACGACCCACAATGGGGACCAGGATTCTTTGCATTCCACCAGAATGCAAAGAATTTCCACTGCATTATTGGCAAAAAAAACCCCTCCCATTCCAAATTTCCACGGTTTCTTGGCAAAAATGCTCCCTACCAAACAATGGGTTCGCTTAACAACAGCAGATTCACTTAAAGACCGTAGGGATTCGCTTAAAAACCGCTGCGAAACGGTCGTAAAACGGGGTCAGTTAAACGGGACGACCTTCTTTACGATCGTCACGACTTAACGGCCATAAGGGGGCAGGCTCTGTTATCGTCGTAAGTCGAGGACTGCCTATAATTTCACCCACTCGGCTATCCTCTCTCTTGCTGATCTTTTCTTTCCGGATTCAGCTGCCAAGAGTCGAACTCGGGGCTGTCCAAAGCCCAGTTGGTTTTGCGACCTGGACAATTTGACGTGATTCTTTGCGTGGATTTCATTGAGACAACAGGGTAAGCAGCCGCGGTGATAAAAAAACACCACATCATACGTGTAATGCACGGTGTGTGTGTATGTGTGTGTCGGTGTGCAAAATCCAGCTGCCTTCACTCATGCAGTATTCCTCGACTTATGATTGTCTGTTTAGTGGCCGTTTGAACTTACGGGTGACTGACGTAATTTCTGCAGTGTTTGCAAGAAAAGCACCAAGCTCAGAGAACAGCAAGGACCCCATAGTTGTTATTCCTCCTCCTCCTCCTCCTCCTCCTCCTCCTCCTCCTCCTCCTCCTCCCCATTCTTTTCTAGGACTGATGATGTTACCTAGTTGGGTCATGAAACGTCTGCAAGAAAACATCCAACCTCAAAGAGCACCTAAGACCCCACTTTTCTGGAGGGGGGGGAAGAAAAGTAATTTCCCCTTGGAAATAGATTTTGAAAAGCACTTTTCCCCTCTCGCTTGCAGCGGACCTGCGTCCTGTAAACAGGAGCTGGTGCGCGAANGTCTCCTGGTGATTGGCTCAAAGTCACCCAGCCGGCTTTCATCCCTCAGGCAGAACTAGAACTCACCATCTCCTAGTGATTGGCCCAAAGTCACCCAGCCGGCTTTCATACCTAAGGCAGGACTAGAACTCACCGTCTCCTAGTGATTGGCCCAAAGTCACCCAGCCGGCTTTCATCCCTCAGGCAGAACTAGAACTCACCATCTCCTAGTGATTGGCCCAAAGTCACCCAGCCGGCTTTCATACCTAAGGCAGGACTAGAACTCACCGTCTCCTGGTGATTGGCCCAAAGTCACCCAGCCGGCTTTCATACCTAAGGCAGGACTAGAACTCACCGTCTCCTGGTGATTGGCCCAGAGTCACGCAGTTGGCTTCCATATCTATGGCAGTGCTAGAATTCACCATCTCCTAGTTTCTAACTTGATGCCTTAACCACTAGACCAAACTGACTTGATTGATGGCAGCAATAGAAGTATTGTATTGTATTGTATTATTGTATTGATAATTCTGTTGCTACTTCGACTAGCAATTCTCATGCTGATTGCCCCATTACAGGCCGATTCTGGAAGTAAGAACACCGCCTGGTCTATCGTCAGCACTCTGATTCGCAAGGAGCTAGTCCTCAAGACTAACATCCCAGCCAGGTTGATTTTTTTTGGGTTATACTAAAGAGTTGGGGGGGGAGAACCTGCCTGCACCCCATTGGTTTTCTTGAACTTGGAGAGAGGTCGTGTTTTAACAGAACTGGCCCAGTTTTGACAAGCTTTGCTTGTCAGTCCAAGAGAGAACGAGGAGATAAACAGACGATGGATGGAAGATGGTTGGAAACTGTGACGGAAGCACCAATCCAGGGTTAAATTTGCCTTAGGGCTATGTTTCTTCCCCTTTGATTTTTAGTCGGTTAATTGCATTTATTAAAAGTTCTACCCCACCCATCTCTCCTAAGGGACTCCTAAACGGGTGGTTTACCACAACATCACAAAATCTTGTAAACCCACAACTTAGAAACAGAATTAAGAACAAGGTTCAAACGTACCAGGTCAAAGTGAAAAATCCAAGTTTAAAAATTCAGAAGGCTGGAACTGACGGACCCCAAAAGGCTATCTTGACTTGCAACCTCTTTCCGAGCAGATATTCTCTGACCGAAGCAGGGCTGACCGTCGCCCGGGAGCTGCGGGCCTCTGAAGAACTGAAGGAAGACCATTCCAGCACCCCAAAAACCGCAGCACCCCAAACAGGAGAAACCGCTTTGGAGCAAAACGACGGAAGCTCGTCGGGCTCAGAAATTTCAGCCAGCAGCTCCACCGGCAAATACAGGTAAATCCTCAAATTACGATCACAACGGGGACCAGAATTTCCACAGTGAGGACCAGCCCCACCAGCAAGCGAAGGTAGTCCTCAAATTACGACCCACAATGGGGACCAGAATTCTTTGCATTCCACCAGAATGCAAAGAATTTCCACTGCATTATTGGCAAAAAAAAACCCTCCCATTCCAAATTTCCACGGTTTCTTGGCAAAAATGCTCCCTACCAAACAATGGGTTCGCTTAACGACAGCAGATTCACTTAAAGACCGTAGGGGTTCGCTTAAAAACCGCTGCGAAACGGTCGTAAAACGGGGTCAGTTAAACGGGACGACCCACTTTACAATCGTCACGACTTAACGGCCATAAGGGGGCAGGCTCTGTTATCGTCGTAAGTCGAGGACTGCCTATAATTTCACCCGCTCGGCTATCCTCTCTCTTGCTGATCTTTTCTTTCCGGATTAAGCTGCCAAGAGTCGAACTCGGGGCTGTCCAAAGCCCAGTTGGTTTTGCGACCTGGACAATTTGACGTGATTCTTTGCGTGGATTTCATCGAGACGACAGGGTAAGCAGCCGCGGTGATAAAAAAACACCACATCATACGTGTAAGGCACGGTGTGTGTGTCGGTGTACAAAATCCAGCTGCCTTCACTCATGCAGTATTCCTCGACTTATGATTGTCTGTTTAGTGGCCGTTTGAACTTACGGGTGACTGACGTAATTTCTGCAGTGTTTGCAAGAAAAGCACCAACCTCAGAGAGCAGCAAGGACCCCATAGTTGTTGTTGTTGTTGTTGTTGTTGTTGTTGTTGTTGTTGTTGTTGTTGTTGTTGTTGTTGTTGTTGTTGTTGTTGTTGTTGTTGTTGTTGTTGTTCTTCTTCTTCTTCTTCTTCTTCTTCTTCTTCTTCTTCTTCTTCTTCTTCTTCTTCTTCTTCTTCTTCTTCTTCTTCCTCCTCCTCCTCCTCCTCCTCCTCCTCC